ATATCCGTTAACACCCAAGCGGAATCCGCAGAGTCCGTTGATTGGGGCCAGCCGTCCGCTGCCATCCGTGCCATGTCAGCAACAAAGAGGGTGTGGTCTACTGAATTAACAGATATTAGCAGACGGCAGCCCCCATCCACTATTAACGGATCCGGGTGGCCACCTCTATTGAAAATGGGCTGGTCGATTTACACCGTTGTCACTACTACTTGACTCATCAGCCCATCGGGGCTTCCTTTAAGTCATTTCCTCCTCGCGGGGGCTCGTTAAACGAAATGAAACTTTCATTGACCCTTTCTCAAGCTGCCCAAAGGCTTTGGTTTGAGTAGCAGGATTCAATTCATCTATGACTTCTACTGGTTCAACCTGCTGGGCCTTTTGGCTTCCACCTGCAGACATAAAGCATAGATGAAAATCAGCTTTCCACTGGCTTTTCTGGGCTCGCCTTTGCTCGTATTTTTTGGGATTTAATTGCTTATCCCTTTCCCAATGCAGAGCTTTCTGCTCTCTATATTGATGATCTCTACGAGCCTTATGCTCATCGAGCTGCTGGGTATGAACAAACCGGTTTCGGTTGCGTGCATGTCTCCTCTCTTTCTCCATCATATGCACTCATGCCCTGGTGGACATGTCTCCTGGTAATGGGGATGCACAAGACGAGATGGACAACTCTGATATCTCCTCCCATCTTTCGTGGGGATCTTGTGGGTTCGGCCTCTCTGGGTTGCCTTCGCTCAAATCCAAGGTGTTGGAATATGTCTCAATGCGAAGGCCATCTTTTCAGGCCACTTTAGGTCCTCCCGGCCAATTTGATCCACCATCCCGGGGCCGTACCACCGCTGGATCTTCACCAACTGTGCGGTGGTCAACCTCATTCCAAACCTTTCAGAAGCCAATTTCCAGCCTTCATCCAGGTCACTCAGCCGTTCGCTGTGGAACCTTGTTTACACGGCTCGGCATTTCAGTTGCTTGCTGTAAGGGATGTTGGTGTCTGGTTCAAATTCCAGTACCTGCTCTTCCTCGTTTGGTCCCCACTCCGGTAGAGCCGGTCTCTGAGGACTCCAATCAGGGCCTCTCGGCCTACTCGGACTTGGCCCACATATGGCACGGGCATTCTCAGTGAGTGACTCCTCACTGGTCCGATCACCATCGCTCGGGGTTTTTACGCACACTTGCAACTTCACCCGTTTGACGGGGCCACTATCCGATGGCCCTGGCATATTAGCCGAGGGGCCTGGATCATTGGCCGAAGGGCCTGCGACATCGGCCCGTAGGCCCGTAACTCTGGACCTTTCGGCCTGCCGTTTCCAGGCCTCACCTGCTGTGGGGCTCTTGCGCTTCGCGCTTGATCACCAAACGGTCTTCCAATCCTCGCCTCCTTGAGCTTCTAGAATCGCCGGCATCTTCACCCCTGTCAGACTATGTACCCTCTCGGGTTGTTTGGGCTACTTCACAATCTGCTCCTCGGCTTCACGTGCACGCTCCTTCTGCTTGTGTAGCCAGTCACTGAGGCTGACTACTTGTTCCTCCGCCAAAGCTTGGGCAACATCGGCCTCTCGGCCCTTATTCTTCAAGGCGATTTCATGCCGCCTGGCTTCCTTCCGCGCAAAGGCCGCAGCGATCTCCAACTGCGCGATCCGGGCTGCTGCGTCCCAGTCGCGGGCCTCTTGCGCCTTGACCGCGGCGGATGCGGCCATCTTCTCCAGGAGAGCCATCACTCCTGGGTCTTGTAGTAGGGCGGTTATCTTCCCTATTGCCGCCTCTTCCTGGCTCTCTTTGGCCTCGGCCTCTGCCATGGGCTGGTCTTCAGCCTCCTCCAATGCTTGGCTTGCCGAAGGCCCCGGTTGGTCCTCTCGAACTGGCTCAACCTCCATCACGCCCTCTTGGGCTGCATCTTCCCGTGGACCGACCTCAGTTGTCGGTCTCCCCTCTTGGGGTGTTGAAGTGCCCTCTCAGGCTGACGAGTCCGAATCCTCAGCCTCCATTATGGAGGAGGCCGGGGAAGGCCCAGCTTGCTCTGGCCCAGGATTTGTGTCCGGCGTGGGCCACCCTCAGGTGGCTCCGAAACCAAATGCTATGTGAAGTTTTTTGGTGTGGGGCTCCTGCCCTCTTTAAGCTACGGACCCGCCTCGCAGGGCACTTAGGTCCTTACGGGGACCTAGGCGGGACCACCCCAACCTATTCCCATATCGTATAAGTGGGTTGGGGTTGGGGATATTTTACCACACCTTGGGCAGGGCGTCCCCCACACCAAGGGGCCATTAGTAGGGCGTCCCCCACATCAAGCCGGTGTGCGTAACAGCAGCCCTAAACTACTCTAGCTGTCCACAAAAATCCTTCACTTCATTGATGCCAAGGAGGGCCTGCACCTTCCACCACTCCAAAATCTGGTCCAGGTTGGTCGGAGCCCCCTCGACAGTCGAATTGCCAGCCATCTTCCGTAAGGTTCTGGTCACCAGAGGCTTACAGACGCTCAGCATGCTGCACACACTCGCTTTGTCATGGTGCATGCATGCGCACCCATCACATATAGTTATGGGCTATCAAAAACATCAAATTAATCACTTTTCACCTAAACGAAACCGATTGGTTCCTTATGGTCCCCAAACTGTAGGTGAAAAATACATCTAGAATACCCATTTCTTCTCGAAATTGAAAACCAAAGATACAACTCGATTGCTTATCAAATTTCCTATCCATTGGTACTTTTTTTCTCCCTAATGAATATTATAAACCTATAATAATAATCCAGAACAACCACTCTCAATCACGCCACCATCCGTGTCCCCCACGGTGCATTAACATATAGGAGGGTTTGATGGCGCCCGATTCTGCCATTGATACTCCCGATGTGCCACCCCATCGTGTCCGCACCTACATCCCCTCTGAGTCATGCACGCGACCCACCCTCCGGGCCACAGAGCCAACCATCCCCCTTGGCCCCCGTGACTCCGCCTAGGGTTCCGGGCTAGAGCGTTTCTCTCTTGGGGGCTCCACCTTGGACCACCGCCAGTCAGATCGGCAAGCAGCCCTCCTCTGTAAACCCACCAACTCAGATTGCCTTGGTCGGCCTTGCGCACCGCGCACGAATGCTCAGGCCGTCGAGACCTATCGGCTCAGGTTCTGGCCATTCAGGTCAGGGGTACAGACGTATAGCACCTTCCAAATGGAAACTTCGTGGGCAAGATGAAAAGCCCAGGAAAGGCGGTTCGTTCGCCCCAGCGGGACAGGACCAATTCGGCGCGAATGCCGTGAGCCACCATGCAGCTAGATCCTCCTGTCGCTGGCCCATGGTCATGAACGGAGCTGCCCGAGACAGTGATGGGCATTGCTCCTATTTCACACTGCAGGGCCTCTCCTCCTCGGCCCCTGAATCGAACGTGACAATCGCAGGGCGGAGGGCTAGACCCTCACCGTGTTGCAGGTACCGGCCTTCTCCGGAGTTGTCGCAGAGGCTTTTGGGCTATTGTTGCTTCGAATAAGCTTCCACATTTGGGATGCTTAGTTGGACAGGGTTACGAGAGTGTGTCTCTGATGGTGTCGCATATTCTCGGTCCCGTTGCCATAGTCCGAAAGCTGATACTGCCCTACAGGCCTCTTTGCCCATACGATTCTCTCCCCACGGGGCAACGCTCTCCCATACTGGAGTCCCATACCATGGTATTCTGGGACTCACGGAGCACCAGCTTGTCACAACCGATGGGCACATTATTGAGCCATGATGTGCTTATTATTGGCGACCCGAGCAACTGCAGATATCCCGAGCAACTATTATTGGTGACCCAAGCAACTGCAGGTCGCAATGTGGGATGCACCTAAAATAAGAAAATCAGCACCAGCACATGCAAATCAATGTGAATTCACTAGCCTCAGTTGCATAGTAAGTGTTCGTCATAGCATCCATGAAGAAACCAATGAAACTAAGCGGTGGACAAGTCCAATGGGGGCATACCTGCAGTGCACAACACCTCAGACCCGGCTTAAACGTAGGCTTGAAAGCTTGGGCAAAGAAGCTAAGTTGGCTATAGCAAAGGGTTGTCGAAATTGCTCTGATGCAGTGAAGGGGCTTGCCATTGGAGAATTCCATGTTCTCTTACAGCAGCAAGGGTTTGCAGGTTTTATCTTCAGTTTGACATGCCCGGCATCCATTAAGCACTGGTCCCAGGCGTTTGGGTAATCCAAGTCCAATGAAGTCCACGCAGAAGCGCAACGCGTTCCTCACCATCCTCAAATTATGCAGCACCAAGGTGGAAGAACACGTGGGTGACACTATGCTAAAAATTTTCAGTTCAATTCACTCCATGCACGTGCATGTATCTTGGCACCGCTTGAAGATCTCCTAGTCACATGCCCTGCCAATGTCAAAAGGTAAGTCGCCTTGCAAACCTTTGTCCAGGCTACGCAACATAGATGAATCTTTGTCATTGCTGGGCATGTCCACGATATTTATACAAACGACGACGTGTGTGCGCTTTTACGTTGGTCAATGTGATGGCACCCAGTATGCGATCGCTGGCTCTACAAGAGCACCAACCAGCGATGGTACGTTGTGCGCTGCCTGATGTACACAAAGTGGTGTGGGCGACGAGCGTGTACCGCACTATGTACTGTGCGGGCAATCGCACAGAAACCTTGGCCAGCATTGCAGTGCCCGAACACACTCCTTCGCGCCCTGGCTGGAAACCTCTCACCCGGTGCCTGGAGCCGCGGGACCGCACCTGGGAGAGTATCCACTCTACAATTTCGCAATTCGTGCCCTGGAAATAGAACGAACGTTCGTTGGTCAGTCGTTAACGAAGACTGACATCCAGGCAATGCTATGAATACTTCGTATGTGTTAGTGCATCGTTGCAATGCAGGCACATCGTACTCAGGGGAATCGCTGCCAACCCCTTCGACCAAGTGCACACCCCCATCGTCCATAAACGCCCGCACCGGGCTGCTCGATTTTCCACTTTTCACCGCAGCACCGACCGCGCTGGGGCTGCCCGCGGTCCGCCATGGACCCGCTGCGCCTGCTGCGCAAGTTCGCGATGGAGCAGGACCTGCGGCGCGTGACGCGCCACGCGGGGAAGATCGACTTCGGGGATGACTACTCCTTCAGCGAGGACACGCCGGTGCCATGGCGCAAGTCCGGCAAGCCCGGGGAGTTCTACTCCCTGCTGTGCGTCTACTACTTCCTGCAGAACCGGAAGGTGGCGCACACGGAATATATGAAGCAGGCCACGAGCGCGCGGGTGCCAACGGTGACCATCGTGGACCGAAGGGTGCGTGGTTGCTTGCCCTCCGCCCTGGACCTCATGCCGGAGCGGGCCGGACGGTGAACCGGGGGGCTGGGGGTGTGGGGAGATATCGCGCAAAAGCACCCGGAGTGGATCGCGATTTGGGTATTGGGTATGGCTCGTGCGCGGGACTGCGGTGAGCATCGGGATTCTGGCTGACGGTGCGGGAGAATTGGATGGTTGCTGATGGGCCGGCGGTGGTCACAAATAAACAGCAGGTTCTGCATTGGTCACTAGCGTCCGATGCGAAATGTTTGGGCTTTCCCTTCCCCAAAAGGCGGTGTAATGCAGAAGGGAGCCAAATACAGGAGTGTGAGCAGAGAATCGTGTGATTCTGTGCCCAGGAGTTGAACTCGACATCTTCGGGTTTGCGCTACCTACAGTGTTGAGTTGTCACCTGATCTAATGACTGCATTTTGATGGGGCACCACCGTCCGCCATCAGACCCTGGAGCAGCATTCGAAGTTAGCCATTTGCTTCGCAGGAAATCGAAACCCCGTCAGGGGTGGCTCGCAACACGGGAACAGAACACGTGTCAGAACAAGATGAGATCGGAGAACAGGATGCATGCAGCCCTCAAGGAGATACATTCTTTCAAAGTTTGCCAGAATGTGACAAACCGTCCCCTTTTGTGCATGCGACAGTTGTGTGGCTACTTTGGCTGACTTTATTTGGCCCTGCAGGAGCTGGAGCAGTACCTGACGGGCAAGATAGACAATGCTGCAAGCATTGCATCAGTGGACGAGCTGCCAGTGCTGCGGCTGAGGAGCGCTGCAGCCGAGGCTGGGGATGGGCCAACAGCGGACCCAAGCCTGGAGCCCAAGAGCAAGCGTCCCAGGGTGGCAGATTCACGCCAGGATGGGATGCCTCAAGGCAGGTGGTTGGGGCCTCCTGGGGAGAGGGGGCCCACAGGATGCCACTCAGGTTCTGGGGAGGGGGGGAAAGGGGTTTTGCTGTTATGTATGCCTGATTCAGGAACAATGGGTATTCTCACAGGTTGTCATGTCAAGGAACTTCCACCAGCTGCTTCCAGCCCCTTCTGCTACACTGTTCTTGTTCCTGAGCCATGTTGTGGCTGTGACCACTTGCTCTGGGGCAAGGGGAAAGTACTGAAACTGGGCTTCTGCAGCAATTTTGGTTATCCACACACTCATGGATGCCAGGAAGGAGATAATGCCACCATCCCCAGCTTTGTGTGCAGCGCCATATGGGGACATGTGACCATGGGCATATGCTTGGTTGCCATCAGTTGTCAAAGTACCCAATCTATTGAGTTGAGTCCACAGAAGCCTTACCTCAGAAGAGAATTATTTGTGGTTGAGCACAAGAGTGCTCCCTTATTAGTGCAAACTTTTGGTTCCATTCAGGGGGCTAACTTCGGCCCATTCAGGGGAAGAGATTCAAGGTTTGGGAGATCCATCTACAGGGGATGGAGGCACAACAATGTCCGTCACGGATATGCTAATGTGATCTGATTGAAAACAAGAACAACAACTGATTTGGTAAGCAATCTGCAGGAGTGTGGGCCTGATGTTTGCTGCTGATTTTCAGGAGCACCGCTGCCACCAGAGGCCTCAGCCCCAACGGATGAGGGTCTGGGAATTGACAAGATATTCGCACAAGAGAGGCAGCTGAGGGACAGGAACACCATGCTGGTATTGCCACAAGGGATTTTTGAGTGTGGTGTGTTGGTGCTCAGCCTCACAGTTTAGTGCACACGTAATACTGCAGATGCATTATTGGGAGTGTTGCTCACAACATGGAAGCGAATTGTGCCATGAGGCAGTGCATTCGTAGTGCTTGGTGGGGACTCTGCACAGTTGGCAGCAGCTTTGATTTGACAGGCAACCAACTGGGCAATCTGCTACCATTGCTTGTATCGCTTTGTGAGAATGTACTATTGCACTAACCACATCCACATGACCATTGAATTACATGGACCAGGATCATAGGGGCAAATGCATCTGTGTGCTATCGGTACCGACTAGATCTGACTTAAGGAACAGGGTAATGAACAGTTCATCACCCTTGTGAAACACATTCCCCAAAATGTCGAACATGAATGCAGGGGGGGTAAAGCTTGTTGTGTCGCTGTTGAATTGGCATGAAATGTACATTGGCTGTGCTGGAAAGCTGTTGTAGCTGTTTCTCGAAACATTCAACAGTCCGCACTCTTTCTCCATTCTGACTCAACCTAGTTTATTCTGCAGTGAACTCTGCTTGCCCTGTTACGTCCCCATCACACTAAGCATACCTCAAAGAGCAGTGTACAACCTTGCAGACTGCTTGCTCTTCCATCACCTGCTTTCTGTTGGCAGGCATGTAGCCATGTCTCCATAAATCTGCCTGGTGGCTGCAAGGTTATTGGTTTCTTGAAATGTATCTGCCCCTGGGTGCAGAGAGTGCATGGGAGGGACTTCAGCCGGTGTTTTCAGCTGGTGGCTGACGTGATGCAAGAACTCCGACACAAGGAGAGACAGAGTGATCTGGCAGCTCAAAAGAGAAAAGAGCCTGTGGTAATTTTACACTTTCCCATGGACATGTTTCTTTAATACCAGCTGTAGCTAGCCATCAGAATAGGTGTATATGCACTGTAGATAGTGCATGTTGCCCTCAATTTGCATCTTGTGAATGCTGTACCATACCATCCCCTGCACAGTGCACAGTGCTTTTGATACCTATGCACTGTGAATGTTGTAGTGCAAAAAGTGGCCATGGACAGAGTCCAGATTGCCTGTACAGCATGTGTGCAGCCTTTGACTGCTTTTCGTAGTGAATGAATCGAAGCCTGTGGGCACGATTCCCCTGTCTGTGGGCTTGGCATCAATGGGTGAAATTCAAATATCTTCTCAAAGCCCCATCATGGCAGTTGCACTGCTTGTGTGGTTCAGCAGCTGTTGGATGCTGCTGTCTCCAGACACACGTTGAGAATCTGCCCAGCAGTTTAACTGATGTGCATTAGTCCTTCCTCGTGGATGAGGTATTGGTCGATGTACATGGTGCCCACACCAAGCCCATCCACAACTCAGAAAACATGCTGGACCAACATGAGATGGTCATGCACAACACGAGTGCTCTGTGCTTTTCGTGTCTGTTGGTATTCAACTAGCTCATCAATTGTCAATAAAATGATGCTCTGTGTGCCTGCTGCTCCTGTTGACAAAAGAATCTGCAAGTGCACCAATATTCTGCACCTGGCCATGATGGTCATGCACAGTGGGAGGGCACTGGCTTTGTGTTTGGTGACATCCAATCAGTGCATCTCTGCTAAGAACGATATGCATTGCATATCTGTTGCCTGTTGCAACTTGTATGCCCAATTTTGTACATGTCTTGGCCTCATGGTGAGCAGCACAGTGCGGACAAGACTTTTTGGTACATCTGTATGGGTGGAAGCACGATAACATGTTTGCAACTATTGCCCTCGTAGTGAACAATGGAAATGCACACTCTTCTGCACTGTAATGCTGCTACATGCAGTTCAGATGAATGGATGCTCATGTCCTCAGGGCCCCAGGCCAATACCTGTTCGCCCCAGTGGGCGTTTTGAGCGTGAGCTTCCCGAGAATCGTGTGAAGACGATGGCAGGCAAAGAATTTGCCAATGTGGAGGTTTCCCTCTATGGGTACAAGGGGCGGGAGACAGAGGCACAGAGGAATGGTGTACCTGGTGTGCCACAGCCGGCCTGGCAACATGGGCATGCGCAATATGCCCAGCAGGCTGCTGGGGGCCATGCTGCGCGTCACCAGCACAGGTGATCATGTGCTGAAACGTCCCTGTTAAGATCGAAATAAAAATACGAAAAAGCAGATTATGTGATGGGCAGCCTCCCTTCTGGAAACTGCTGCTTTGATAGTCCTTTTCATCCTGGGGATCGTTTTGCACAAATTCCAGTTATGCACAGGACACTAAGCAAAACAGGATAGTGCTGATAGTGTTCCATGCCTGAAAACTGACGATTCGACCTGCAGCCTGCTGTTGACCGTTTGTGTGCCACAATTGACCTGTTGCACAACTGTAGCTGTGGCAATCTGTTTGAATATATGTTTGCAAGCAAATTGTTAGCACTGCACCTGAACCTTCAAGGTGATGGACATCATACTTTCACACAAATCGTTTATGCAGCATGTATTGTTCCGTTCATTTGAGAATTCCCTCACAAAACGCTTGGGGGAAAATGGACGCAGCTGTTTCAAAGCCACTGGATGAATCTGCTCTGGTAGAATTTGCCATTTGACGATAATATGGTAACCTTCCACTGTTCGAGCATTGATGAGCATTGCACATCGATTGTGAATGTTTATTCCACATTTGTGTGCATCTCCTCACTCCACTTGTGAGGATTATCTGTGTGTGCCATCAATCTGTGAACTTGAGGGAAAGGCCACCTGTCTGAGG